TAATATTTAATTATATAATTATAATCTGTATCTAATTAAAAATATCTGATTTTTGAACATTAAAACATAAAATCTGATTTTAGAATTTGAATCTTCAAAAGTAGGGAATTGTGTAATTTCCACTTCTTTTAATTAGAAGAGTTTTTAGATGAATCTGATCTAATGTGACTTCTTTCAAAAGCATTTTCAGAATAAAAAACTCTCTTAAAAATTAGTTTTCAAACAAAATAAAGTTAGCATCCTCTAAAAGTTTTTCTACAAAAAGCAAAAGCAGAAGAAAAAGAAAAAGTCGTGCCAAAAGAGCCCTAATTGTCCAAACAAGAGGTTCACTAGCTTATGCCAGCACTAAAACAACTATGTAAATACAGAAACTCCAGCTTATTCATTCCTTCAGAGTTTCATTGCACAGCCATCCTCACATACTCAGTAGCTGTTGGGGAACAACCCCATGGAATTGCCTTACTGGAGCCCGAAACATAGAACTTCAATTTTATTTTATATTTTTTGATAAAAAAACAACTACACAGAAATGTCAATTTTCCAGGAAGTGTTAAGGGTGCAGAATTCTTCAGCATGTGAGAAATATAATGACCTTCCATTTTCACCATATATGTGAGTCTGCTCTATGAATAGTTTTGTCAACCCGCTTTACACTGATTCAGAAACATGCATAAAGGAACTAGAAACAAACCAAATTGGCATCAACAAATTTCCTAAAATATTTCTAGAACGATCTCAACTTATTGGCCCTTTCAGGTACTAATACAATCTTAGTAACACACACACACACACAAGTAATATGTATCATTACTGAAATGAAAAACTTAGGGTCTGTTCTCTTTACCATTTTCAAGTTATTTTCTGTTTTCAATTTTCCAAAACAGTGAAAATGCGATTTCTTTTCTATTTTCGAAAACTCGTTTTTGAAAACAAGTTAAAAATTTACAAAGAAAACCCAAAATGACGAAGTTGTCGTTTTGGGTGTTTTCAGTTATAATCAAATCAAAATTTTCAAAACGCATTTTTGGTGTTTTCAAAATGCCAAAGAGAACACATTTTCAACAATCTCAAAATGAACACTGAAAACACAAAACTCAAAACACAAAACGCAAGACTAAAACATAAAGAGAAGTAGAGAACAGCCCCTTATTCTTCTTTAGCATCCAAAATCAGAGTCAAGCTCCAAATACCTCAATTTTGGTGCGGAATTCTAAGGAGCTCTCACATACATGACACTCAGCTCTATGAGGGGAACTATTGGACTGATCTGACCTAACAAAAGCAAACACCTGAAAAAAAAAATGTTGTAGCAGCTCAAGATACAAGGATCCATGCACTGAATAATATTGTTTGTCAGACATGAGAGATAATCAATACCAACAATTCAAATAAGGTTTTTGAAATATGGCGGCTAATTTCCATTACTAACCTCTTCGCCGCAATTAGGGCATGCTCCTTTCAATGCCACCAGTTTACTGTTCCAAAGCCTTTGAAGTGCTCCAACTACATGAAATCTCCTAGTTAGAGAGCATAATGAAGCATAACATGCTATAGATTTAATTCAACTCAATTGTGATGGTGCATATGATAATCAACAACCTTAAAGAAAACATAATGCTTATCATACAATGAGTTCATTACACGCACAGCTTGACTTTCAAAAAATATACACAAATCCAGTTTGTTGTAATGCTATTGATGTTTCCTTATCATTTAACGCATCAAGCCATTGTAAACAACAATATCGTCACTAGTACATATCATTCGAAAATTGCCAGAAAATAGGAAAAACCTGCTCCAGTAGCCCATATAGGATCTTAGTCTATAATAACATTTACAAAGGATACTTAGATTCGTCTCGGCCCACCAGGACATTTTTGCAGCCACAAAATCTATTGATCAATACGCCAATGCACATATCAAAATAGCTGATAATATTTCAACAACCCCTAGATCCCAACACCCACTCCCACCCAAATGGTAAAAAAGGCAAAAGGTCCTGGCACCCATGGTATGAATATAAAAACAACGAACATCAATTTTTCCTCTATTTGAAAAGCATGTTCAGGTGAGCTTATTTGCACTCATAAGCTTACTTATAGCAGGAGAGAAAATTATGTGTTCATAAGTAAAATAAGCAAGATTATAAGACCACCCAAACATGCTCAGCTGAGACCATCTTGCTCGCTTGTTTAAAGGAGGCAACAATTTTTTGAAATATTTTGCATTCCATTTCTCAGTGTAGCCATTCAAATAAATGGAAAAAGCAAAAAGACACTAAATTATTCCTTCTCATTTCCTTCTTTCCAAATTTAAGTAATATAGTTAAACGGATATTTCTGCCAGTCGATGAGTGAGCATAAAGAAAGGCTCTAAGGCCAACAACAACATATCGTGTTCAAAACATAGACAATAAACTCGATGTAGCACACATGAATGAATCAAAATATCATTCAAAGTTCGTGGTGAAGAAAGCAATTTTGGGAGTGATTACAAGTAGGGGTGTCCAAAAGTCCCGAACCGAACCGAGCGGTTCTTCATAAGTTAAATACTCGAACGGGTACCCGAATCGAGAACCGATAGGTTTGGATCGGGTCTCGGGTCTAGATCAAGATATTAAATTTAAAGCCTTCAAATGATATCTAATTAATTTTATTGGAATGCTAGTTATTTATATGTTTTTGAATTAGGCTACGTTAATTTGTAAAAGTTACGAATGAAATGTCATTAATTGTATTTATGTAGCTGTAAATATTAAAAAATTTAACTATGGTACAAAACTGAACCCGATCAGTTCTATAGTTATATTTGGACCCGACGGTTCCATTTATTAAATACCCGAAAGTTTTAGGTCGGTTCGGTTCTCTTCAGAACCGAATCGAACGGAACCGACCCACTGACAGCCCTAATTACAAGGAGCATTTAAGCACTTTCAATCATGCTCAAAGACACTTCACTGTATTATAAAGCTTATTCCTCAATGAAGGGATTCTAGGTGGTAATTAAAGACATTCAACATCACTTTCATCTTTTGAAGTAAAAGTTACAGATAGTGCATGGCTTGCTAAAATCAAGTGTAAAAGCATTGTTGAAGATTTTAAATATATTACCAGAAGCTGATGCAATTGGGTAGCCAATCACGAATCCAAATAATATTAAGAGAGTGCCGTTAAGCGTGGTAAGAAACTCTAGCACAGAAGCTTGATTATCATAAACAATTCCAGAATCAACTGCATCTTGATAAGCTCGACAAATGGTGTAGAGTACTGGCACCAGACATGCTGAAGAGCCAAATCCAAGAATCAAGAACCATATGCTCGCTAAAGCAAAAACCTGTGAAGGATCTTCCTGCCCTACATCCACATATTCAGAATTCAAGTGCAGCAGGAAAATAAAAACACTAATCTGTATTAATATTATTCTAGGTAAAGTACTTTATTCTATGCAAAATCATTTCTAGCAGATACAGAAGTCAGGTTACCCTTGAGAGGCCTAAACTGTACTACTAGGAAGCACAGATACGGATATGATAAGATAGGGATACGCCCTATAATGCACCGACACGGACACGTATATCTGACACGATAAGTGTCGGATACGTCGACATGTGATTTTTAAAAAAAGTACAGACACGATATGTCACCGACACGTTGATTAAATTCTTAAAAATTCTTCATTTATATAGTATAAATTTAGTTTTATACTTGTTATTAATTTTCCTTGTTGAAATATTTTAAACATGAGTACATATTTGTTGCTTGCTAATAATTTTGAATTAACAATATATAATATTAATAATATAAAAGGAAAAATGATTACTGTAGCGTGTCTTATATAATATTTCTAATAAAAAAAGAAAAATAATTACGCTAGAGTGTCCGAGAAGTGTCGGTATCGACTCGTGTCCGACACGAACAAGCTACTCTAATTGAAGTGTCCGTGCTACACACCGATACGACTTTTTTGAAAAAATTAGAATAAGACTATACGTTTTATAAAATTCAATATAATTTCATTGATATAAAAAATATATATACTAATACAGAAGCATGATGATAAAATTAAAAAAAAAATACTAAAGCAATTATTAGCACGGTTTTACATATATTAAATCAATATCTATTTTCAAAATAGAATTAATGTAACACAACTTTTACATGTTTTATTTAATACTAATCATTATCTATTTTCAATAAGGGTCCGTTTGATTGCAAGGGTGGAAATAAAATGAATTCTTGGGAAAATAATTGTCTAAAAATTGTTTTGTAGAAAATTGTTAATTAAGTGTGTTTGATTGGTATAATTTTTCACCCGGAAAATTTTTAAATTTTGTGTTCGTTTGACTTTATTTTACGTGGGAATTCTCCATTAAAATGAAATTTTGTGATAATTCTTTCCACGATTGGTTATAAAATTTGTTTCCATTGCCAAAAAGTTAAAAAAAAAGGAAAAAAAGTTCCTAAAAAATCATTTTTCATCAAAGTTTAGTGTTCGTTCGGCTTTATTTTACATGGAAATTGTCTATTAAAATGAATTTTTTCTTATAATTGGTTATAAAATTTGTTTCCATTGCAAAAATAAAAAATGATGGAATTTCATTTTCCCACCAAAAAGGTGGGAAAATGAATTCAAGCAAATCCTTGAAAATGTAACAGTGTGAAGCCCATGAGGAAAACCAATTCCCAAGAAAATTGTTGCCATCAAACAAACAAATTGGTGGAAGATGGAATTTGAATTTCTAGTTCCATGGAAAAAGTTGCTTATCAAACACAACCTAATAAAAATATATTTGTTAACTATAACACGATTTAACATGTACTGAAAGATTAGTCATATTTTGCATTTCCAACAAAAAGTCTAGTTGTTAATTTTAAAACTCTAATTATGCATTTTCATTAAATATTATTGATCTTCAATAAGTTATTAGAATAATTTTAAAAATATATATTGGATATGTATCGAAAATCTTACAAAAATATTAAATAATTAAAAAATATGCATCGCATATGTATCGAAAATTAAAAAATATATAAAATAATTAAAAAACAAGTATCTGGTACGTATTGGATATGAGTATGTAACGAGTTTACAAATATCGGTGCTTCTTAGGTGTACTATCTCGGGATTGACACAACTCCAATAAAAATTACGTCAATAAAGTTTCACATCAATGATGATCTATTTCCAATTGAGTATATATAATTGACTCAATCTGTCAAAACAATTAGATGGCTGTTACAAAGAATTCCAAGATATCAAGTAATCCTTACAGTTGTACTCATTTCAACATCAGTAGTATTAGCCAGAGTTACAAATATAACTATGGTCAGCAGTATATGCTTATGCTGAGTCTCTTTATCTAATCCTTACTTGAACATATTTCCTTAAAAACAATATTAAATAGTAAGTTTATTAGGACTTCCGAATGGAAAGTAGTTGATTTCTTCTATTTTCCTGATTACTGAAGATTATTCACTTGTAGAAAATTAACCATGCATTCCGTGTGAAGTTTGCTTTTAGATTGTTCTTTACACGTAAGTGTTTTGAAATTAATATTTTATAAATGATATCAATGCTCAATTTTGAGAATTGAATAGGAATATGTAACCATACTTCTCATTGAAATCTCTTTTAGTCTATATTGTACAAGTCAATTTTGTGATACAATTTGGTCTTTTGCTCGATTAATAAGTCTAGTTAATGGATCGAATTATACTTGAAATTGCCTAAGCACTTATCAACCATTCAAACTCAGTAATTTTTATGCATTGCTTGCCATCAAAATCTCCATTTTACTTCATAATGAAGTCTTAAAAATATTGTGAGGCAAGATTAACACATTAACCCCAAATAAAGACATAATATTAACCAATACACATTAAAATCAAAATTACCTCGGCATCAGCATAAGTAGATTGCCGCCTGAGACTGCATCGTGGGTACTTCACCACATACTTTGAACCATACCTCCGCAATTTTAACTGTTCCAGTAATACTGTTCATAAGCAAAATGAATAATTCGACCATAATACGAAGAACAAAAAAAAATATACCTCGACTCTATCAAACATATCATCCACTATCAAAGGCTTCCCACTGTAATATGCATCCCGCGCCTAAATTAATTAATAACAATTAATCAACCAAAATTTGAAAGTATTAGGAAAAACGATGTGAGCTCAGTTACAAATTTTTGCTTACCTGACGATAGAGCGCTTCGAGAGTTTCTTGGCTGGCGGACTCAATGGGTCCGACAAATATGCAGGAGGGTCCTTCGGAAGGCTGGCGGTTTACGTAAGTGGCAGCGGAGCTGGAAATGCAGTGGCTCCGAGACGAGAACCGGACCGAAAACGGGGCTCCGATATGGGAGGCGGTTCTAGAAAGTTCAAACACGGCGGAGCCAATCACGTGAGGAGTCACCGGAGAGCGCGTGGCGGCCATCAACTGCTTTCTAAAACTAGTAACAGTAACACACCTAAACGGTTTTGCATACACACGAAATTATAAAATCTGATTTGTGCTTTGGGCGTGGCCACAAGATGAAGAGAGAGATGGCGAAAATGCCCTTTGAGGCTGTGACTTCATTTTTGCAAATAAATATCTTACCTCGCTTGCGAGAAATCTGTGATTGGTGGTGGATATTTGAAAGGGTAAGCCATGGAAATTTGACCTTAAAATTTGTGATTCACGGTTGGTTAATGGTCAAGAGTGTTGGCACTAGCTTGGACCCACTAATTAAACTAGTTGTAAGTTGATTATGTATAGTTGTCCACGAAGAAATACATGTGGCAAAATTGAATCTACGCACATTTGATTTCAATTCAAATTACATTTGAGCTTTGGATAGGTCCATCCAGATGTTATAATATCAAACATTATTCATTACTGTTCCTTCAAGGGTGGTCGAGCTGGTGGAACAGGTGAACGTGAAGGTCAAATATCACAAGTTTAAATCCTCTGTCAACACTTTCTCGGTCGAGTCGATCGCACCGAACTTCCCTAGTACGATTTACCTCTTATGTGTGGTTTACGGGCTACTGCACATGGAGCGGGGTTTACTCACAGTGGTCGGGCTTCCGCCCCTTTGGGTGGTCGGGACTCCGTTGGCGGATAGTTGCTGCGGGTTCCTACGTAAAAAAAAATAAAATATTATTCGTTTCATTTCGAATGTTTCGTAAAGAGTAATACTATTTAACATCTATAATATACTGACACTTGAATTGTTGTTCAACACTACTAATATTAGATAGCATTATTATTTCGTAAATAAAATAATTCGAGTTCATGTAATTATGAGAAAGAATTATAATTGGACCTCAATTTGAGTTTGATCTATCTATAATATTTCTTAAAAAATTGAAAGCTGACAATACATATTATATTCTCAATATCAACACTTTCTTAACACAATTCTAATTGTGACTCTACATATGACGGTTCAAGAAGGATTTGTGTGGCGGACATCAAGTAAAGTGTTGTTGGAGTTTCTATGAATGGGGTGATGTGATCCAATTGTTCAAATGAAATTGGATTTATTACTTGGGTTAAGTTAGATCATTGGATTTGAGTGAATAAATTGTACAAATTTCTTTTGTAAAAAATGATAAATTCAGTTTCATAGTCGGGTGCTCACAGTTCCGGTTCAAAAGCCACAATTGTTGGACACCCAACTGATTCTCGATTCCGATTAAAATCTCTACCTCTAATTCAGATCCATTATTTATTTGAAAATATTGATGAGTGTGTTTTACACATGAATTTTGTACCATTAAAATCTCATTTGCAAGCTTAATATGTTGATTATAGAACGAATTTAATGTGTTTGCTAGTGTTTTGGTTGAAGGAATGTTAAAATGAAGAAAAATGGTTTTTGGAGCAAAATAGAGGAAGAATGGAGCAGAAATATGGCGCTCAAGCTCCCGGAGATAGCGCTCAAGCGNGCCTAAGCGCTACGCCGTAAACAACTAGGTTTTGTTTTGTGGGCTACTAAAAGCCCATGAAGGGGACTCCAATTTGGCCAAAGATTTATGAGAAGTATAAAGGGACTTAAATAGGGTTCCACGCATTATTTTGGAGAGAAAATACCATTGAAGAGCAAGGAGAAGGGCGAGAACGAGGGTTTCACTTCAAGTTTGAAGATTCAAGCTTTAACTTCTAGTTCTTTAGTGATGTCTTCTATTTATTACTTTTATTGTTCTTTTATTTTCTCTATGTTAGGTTAGGGTTTTTTTTTTTGTACTAGGTGAACGATGAACCTCGCATTGTGATCTTTTAATTTCTATTTTACAATTTGATATTTAAACACTTCTGATGGATGTAGAATGATTTATATACACTTTTTGCCTCCACGATTATAGTGCACGATAATTGTGTGAGTTTATGTGGTTTATTTTATGCATTCGAAAGAAGGAAAATAAACTCAACAATGTATAAATCATCGTTTTGTTCATAGATGATAGAAATATACCGATGTGCATTACGTGAATCTATAAGTGTTTACAAAATTTCATGCATTCTTGTATATTACATTTGTCATAGAAATATAGTCAAATGGTATGCTAGAATATGTTCAATTCTACTTGAAAGAGATTGTTGGATAAGTTAGAAACATTGATTTTTCAACCAATTCGTCGTGTTGTCAAATTGTGAAATAGGGGTTAAGAGTGAACTTTGTTTGGTGATTCAGGATCCTAGTACGCTTTTCATACATTGAATTTTTCAAACTTCTGCATTCAAACATTACTTTTGCATTTGGTTCATAATTCTAGTTTAATTTGCTTATTAGCCATAGTTTAAAAATCTAAAAAACTCATCTTGACTTGAATAGATTCGGTTAAGGTCGCAATAATAGAACTCAGGTTAAATCAATTCTCGTGGGAACGATACTCGAAATTCTAGGATTTTCACTTTATTACTTGTTAACGAACCGTACACTTGCGGTGATTTAAATCTGAAACATATTTTTGTGAACAAATTTTTGGCACTGTTGCCGGGGATTGAGTATTAATTTGATTTTTGTTATTTAGACACTAATTCGAACTTTTTTTTAATATTATTTTCTATTTAGTTTGTCTACTTAGGCTGAGCTAAGTTCTACTATTCTTCACCTCTTCATATATTGCATGTGAAGATCAATCAACTGTGAGTTACTTCAAGTTGATTTGGAAATTGAACGAACTTTTCATCGCAGATAGAGGATAGCAAGAGCAGCACATCAGGTCAACCAAGGACAACTACAAATGGCTGATCAACAACTCGAACCAAGATTAAACCCTGCAGCTCCAGTTTATGCAGAAGCACAATATGATGGGAACGCTATGCTTGGAGATTTTTTTGTCACCATTCATCATTCAAAGTCAATCCAGCATTGTTTACCCAGCATTCGGACAACCAAAATTTCAATTGAAAACAAATGTCATCCAACTCTTTCAAAATGGACATCAATTTTATGGAATGGCCAATGAGAATCCACATACACATGTATCCCGTTTCTTGGATATGTGTCAACATTTCAAATATCAGGGGATATCAGAAGATGCAATCAGACTGAGGTTATTTCCACACACTCTCTGGGATAAAGCACTTGAGTGGCTTGNTTCACTCCCGGTGGCAAGTATAACTACTTGGGACGACTTGGCTCATAAATTCTGCACAAAATTCTTCTCACCGGCCAAGGTAGCAAGACTAAGGCACGAAATCTCAATATTCAACCAAATTGAAGCTGAATCATTTGATGAGGCTTGGAACAGGTTCAAAAACATGCTACGGAAGTGTCATCAACACGGGTTCGACAGGACAACACAAATTAGGTTTTTTACACAGGACTGCTTCCAACATTCAAGAGCATGGTGGACTCATCATTAAACGGGTCCCTAACCACCAGAACAATTGATGGAACTTGGGACTTTTTTGAGAGAATGGCTAATACCTCAGCCATGTGGTCTTCAGATAGAGTAGGTCCAAAGAAAGTAGCTGGAGTGTATAAGGTAGATACTTATTCGGCACTATCTGCAAAGATTGACTCTTTGTTCCACAAGATAGAGGGCATAACACAGACCGTGAATTCAGCACAAGTGAAGAAACCAAATTGTGAAGAATGTGGAGCAGAGTATGGTACAGCTGAATGTCCTATCCTTACACAAAAGATGGAGCAGGTAGACTTTGCTCAATAGGGTCAACATCAGCAAAACAATCCTCATTCTGAGACATATAATCCTGGATGGAGAAATCATCTGAACTTCTCTTGGGGTGGAAACCAGAATCACAATCAGAATCATAATAGGGCGCAATGGCAGTTTCAGCAGGAGAGGAAACCTCAGTTGGAAGATATGTTTGCGAAACTCATGGAAAAGACCGATAAATATATGGAAACCACAATTCAATTTATGAGAAAGACTGAAACAAACTTCCAGAATCAGGTTGCAGCTATTAAGAATTTGGAGACTCAAGTGGGACATCTAGCTCTTTCTATGACAGGGAAAGTATCTGGTGCATTACCGAGCAACACAGAAATAAATCCTAGGGAAGAATGTCAAGCCATCACTACACGAAGTGGAGTTCAGGTACCTGAGATACATGTAAAAAGGTCGGGTGCACATAAAGAGCAAGTGGAGTTTTCTGAATAAGAGAATGAAAAGCAGGTTGACAACATCAGAAAGACACCAGTAAAAGAAAGTCCAACAATGTCACAGAAATTGCCAGATAATTCGGTAAATCCCTATGAGCTACCTATTCCATTCCCACAACGATTGAGGAAGCATCAATGAGAGCAATAATACAAGAAATTCCTCAAAGTTTTCACGAAACTCCATATAAATATCCCATTTGCAGAAGCATTGTTCAAAATGCCCGACTATGTCAAATTCCTGAAAGATATTCTATCCAAGAAACGAAAGTTAGATGAACATGAAACAGTGATACTAACAAAGGAGTGCAGTGCCGTAATTCAGAAAAAGCTCCCACCAAAACTGAAAGATCCAGGGAGTTTTACTATACCTTGCACTATTGGTGAATGCTACTTTGATAAAGCTCTTTGTGATCTTGGTGCAAGTATTAATCTAATGCCTCTATC